CAGATATTTTCATATTCTGCTGCGCTATACCCTCTTACCTATCTGCACCACGATACCACTGCTGTTACTGACCCCCAAGAGTACGACCCCCCATGACCCAGCCCGACAGGTACGACCCCCCTGTCGAGGATTTCCTCGACCGATATTCACCCTGATCCTTACGACCGCACATCTACTATATGCGCCCTAGATGACGTCGTTTATTACTGCTCAGGATGCGCCGGAGGGTTACAAGGCTTCTGTCAACCAAAGGGTGAGAGCGTAGCTGGAAAAGCACACACTTTGTGTCTTATTGGGACTAAGCCTTTTGAAGAAGATAAAGAAAGAGGAGATGCTGTGATAGTGTGCACTTGTGAGAGCTCCCAGACATCACTACAAAACGCTGAACCGCCAAGGCTCACGGTTGTCCTGAGACCGCGCCGGAGACGGTACCGACTGGGGGCCGCGATCGTCGTAAATGCACAAGTCACATGTGATTTCGTCTTCCTCGTCCTGTCAATTTCCAATTTCAACTGTTTGTTTTGCTTGCTTGTACAAGTCTAGTTAACGAATGGCGCTTTCCCAAATAGGAATTATGCTCAAGTTTTTCAAGTTGAATACGGTCTTTTTCTGAGCTCGCTATTCACTCCTCTCATCTATGTAATCGACCTTTCTAACCGCCTCTTTTGTGATTGCTGTTCCTCACGGTTGCTGTTCGTGAGATTGCCTCTGTATGCCATCTTAAGTTTTGATTGGTCAACCAAATTTTCCAATGTTCTGCAGCTCACATTTGATAAGGAGTATTCTCATTGCCAATAGTTTTACGTCTTTCATGTTATGTCCTCTAGGAACATTTAGTTTCGGTTTCAGCCACAATTGTACTCCGCCACCTCCTCCAATCATGACTGCCTCGGAAACCAATGAAGATGCAGATCAATCGCATAAGCAGAATGGTAAACCAAAAACACATGAAGATTCTGATAACAAAGTAGATGAGTCTCATGACAAGAATGATGATGGAAAACCAGTAAGTCTTTCTCAAAGCTGCGTTGTTTAAAGGTACATTCTACTACTGCAGAATGTGGGTAGTGGTGGGTGGACGGGCTACTTGAACTCGGTCCTTTGCTGCCTTAACTCGATGCTCTCGTCTGCGCTCTCGCCTTATCAGCGGCTCATGACCACTGTGATCTCACACATTCAAACTTTTGCCACACTGTAGTTGGCTCACCCACCTCGGAGTCCCTCCTTACAAGGCTTAGTCCTAGGGCTCTCACCTTCCTTGGGATTTGGAGCCGAGCCAGGCGCCGTTCTCTGATCGTCTGTGCTCTCCGCCATTCGTGGCAGGACCAGAGAAGAAAGTTGAAGAAGTCCGTGAACCGTGGGGGCTCGAAAAGAAAAGTGACGGCATTAAGTCGCTGGTCGCTCTAAATTTGAAGAAGCCCCAGGTCGCTCTTAATGAAGCTCTTTTTCATGTGGTTCTTTTTGAGCTTTATACGGGCTTACAGTGAAGAAACCCTGCGCTGCATTGAGGGGTCAGACGGCCAAGGGGAGGGGTTACAGAAACGAGCAGGCACTACCCAAGTGTCGATTTCAAGGCGAACTCCCTTGCGAAAGGTGGAGTTACTTGAACAGCATATGGCCCCAATGCATTTGCCGTGAACCTGAGCCGCGAAGTGGGCACGTCCGCAGAAGGACAAGGCTAGAAGTCTTCGGTTACACTTTTTCTTCTGTAACTTTTCAATGGGTAACGGATAGTTTTGCATATAATTTTCTAATGGATGGTTCTGCATGATAATAAATAGATCACGTAAAATTCCGATTTGTTGAGTATCAACGTATAATAAACATGACAATTCACAAACTACAGTAATTTCGCTTATCTCGATTCAAATGCTTCCAGTGGTAAAAGCGGTCACACATGCTAGCTTGGGATGCGAGAGATTCCCGCCTGACGCGAAAAAGTTTGCTCATAATGCAGCACCTTGCGAGAACTTGCGCATGGCAATTGCGGCTAGACATAGCGCTTAACAGTTTAAAAACATTTTAGTCAGAGAGCTCTTTTATTAATTTCTTTGCAATGTCTGTCAGTACCGTAATACTAATCCTTGATCACGCTTTCAGGAACGGAAGACGGGATCCTGTAAATGGTTCAATGTCCTCAAAGGTTTTGGGTTCATTGTTTTGGATGACACTAAAGAAGATGTATTCGTGCATCAAGTGAGTACCTCCCATTTTAGATTGTAGTAATATTATGTTGAGCAACAATATCCGTCATTTTTATTTCACTCATAAGTTTATTAACAAAACCAAACAAAAATAAATGCGTAATCAACAAACGCTCTCGAACAGTCCTCTCTGCAACCGTGCCTTCATCCCAGGCTTCATTGATTCTACGAGCAGATGCAGAAGCATTCGGTTTCGAGCTCAACTTGCACTCATGTAGCAGGGCAATCTTTTTTGCTAGTGTGTAAGCTCCATAGTGAAGTAAATACACAAGTGTTGTACATCAAAATGTACAAGAGATTGAGCGCTTTCAGACTACATCATAACCTTGAAAATAATCAGCAAAAATCAAAGAACCATGAGCCTGAAAAAACGGTGGATAATTATAGCTCAACCTAATATAATCAGCTTTCATGTTTGTCAGTTTGAATGTATGCTGTGTGATAACACGTAAATTGGAGAAACAGAAATAGCACTAGGATGTCTTATTCGAGAAAATTGGCTGGGAACAAGGCGTGGTATTGTAGCTACCCAACTTAGCGAGCACAAGATTGAGGGGCACAACGGGAACGACTTTACCAGAAATGTTCTGTGTACGAGACTGAATTCTAGCTAGAAAATCCTTGGAATCAACAAAAATGAATGGATTACTGACT